CCTATGAAAATGGCTTGGTATTTTGAATTGTTTCTTTTATTAAGACCGTTCAGATCGTACCATTTGTCTACCAACGCAAGATCTGAGTTGATTGCCCTTTCCACCTCTGTATGGGCATAGACAATGTTTGTGTCGTCGGCAAAGCTGGAAAGATTGCACTGTTTCACAACATAAAATAGATCATTTAAAAAAATATTAAATATCAGAGGGCCGAGGATTGAGCCCTGAGCTATTCCTCTCGTGACGTCACTCCAGCTGAGCAACGACTACAGAATGGGACACGCGTGAAAAACGCAGTGCGCATGCGTGCCTTCCCTGCTTCCGGCGCGAATTTGCGAGTCGAAATTATACGCGATACCAAAACAAACTAGATTCGGGCCGCGAAATTCAAAAAAGTAAGCTCCACACACAAAAGATAAGCTTAGAATTTCACGAACACAAAGTTTATTAATTGCTTTAGTTTCTCTCTTTTGCACCACATACTTTCCTCCTTGCACCAAAAACGAAAATTTTGTTTGAAAGTTAACGCTCGCTCTGGCAGCACTTCGCCGTAGCCATTGTTGCTGTTTTGGTCATCATGTCGCTGAGCTCGGTCAATGCGAACAACGAAAACGACCAACGCATGCTAAGTGGAAAAACAAGGACGGAAAAACCTCGTACTGGACGACTTTACCAGTTAGTTAGTTAAGTTAGTTTAAGTAATTTTTTGTTGTGCTTAATACTAGAACCGGCTGCAAACCATTAAACATATCAAACATTCCTAAGTGTTTTTCAATTTAAATGAGGAAGATTTTGCAAATTTTAATTATTGAAAATAGAGACCTTGCGCATGCGCAGACGTTTTGCTCGCGTGTCACAGAATGGTCTGCTGCGGTGACCGGAAGTAATTTTTCCCGCCACGTGTCAATGCCTCAAATAATTTGCATCTATTACGAGGTTGCGTGAAGTTTTCATCATGGTCGAAGACTGAATGAATTATTAAATCTTTGGAAGATAGTTAGACTGGAAAGATTAAATCTTGCGCCGATGACAATTGCCAAAGTCTTAAAAGGGAAATTTGTTTATTCAAACCTGCCTTGAGTGTCCGTCATGATCGATCGCCTGAACGTATTATTTTTACAACGAATCTTACGATCCAGACTAATATGGCGATACTTGAACCGTTTTAATAACTGTTCGGCAGTTGATGTTTTCTTTAAAATTCTTGCTCGTGACATTAAGTCTCTTAAGTAGGTACCTACTTTGTCGAGAATCCTGACAACGAAATCGTTTCTTGCCCTAATAAAAAATTAACAAACCAATGTTTTTAGTAATTTTAATTTATGTCCCCTTGCTTATACTCGGAACTCCCTGATCGGAACCCTCAATAATGATAGGCGAACACTCTTCCAGTCTCAGCAGAAATCAAAATTTATTTGTACAAAAAGAGACACGCTTTATTAACCTTTGGAGAGTATCGCTTTCCTACATGGTAAGGTTAAAATGATTCCAAGAATGACGTTTAAATACTATGAGAATTACAAAATTATTAGGTTGATTATAATAACTCAGTGTCTAGTTAATATGAGCCGGCAGCACCTGCTGGTGTTGTATAAGAAAAGAGCACGACAAACGTTTGGAAAAGAAGACAAGATTGTTTTAAATTTGGCATGAGTATTATCAGGGCGAGTGGAAAATTTCAGTCCGTCAATTTGCATGCAATATTGTTTCCAGCGCAAACTCTTATCAATTATCGTTAACCAGAACAAACAAGCCGTCCATCTTTACTTTTGTATCATACCGCCGTGTACACACAGACAAAGATACTTAAGAAAGCTTTTTAGAAATGATTCACTGTAACTTAAAAAAAGCAACAACGACATAAGAACAAACCGGAAAATATTATTTTCCTTTGCGATTCTTCAACATCCCTTTAATTAAGCGCTCTCTCAGAGAGAGTTCTGTATCAGTCAAGTCGATATACGGGGGTGCAGAACTGGAAACGTAGCGCCCTCGTTAAGTCGGTAGTTGGTCCAGGCATCAGACACATTCGTTCGAGAGCGAAAAATAATGTTTTCAACAACTCGTTAAGTTCGTGTTCCGGTATCTCGTTTGCCAGGGGAGTCATTATGTTGTATAATGAGATACTAGCCTTTACGTCCATCTTCAAGTAACTGCAAGTTTAAGAACGACGTTTTTGAGCGTCGTACGTCAACTGGAAGTGGACTTTTTGCTTTCTTGGGTCATATATGATTTTGACCAAATTTCCGGGCAAATCGGCGCCGTAATACTAAAGATACTTGACAATAGAAATTTGGTGGCGCCAAGGCATAATTCAAGAGAAAAGGACTCGGTAAAAACTAGTTTCCGGTTAATGTGCATCGCTTAAAAACGCCGTTGCTTATACTCGCTAATTTCGCTTTCGTTCAGTACTCGTTGAACTAAAAAGCCTTAATTTGGGTGTTTTGACGCCAACTAGGTTTGATGAACGCAGTATTTTGTTTTGACTCAGCTTGGCAGTCTTCAGAATTCTCTTGTATAAATAATTTTTGAGTGCCTTTTGTCTGAGCTTGAATTGATTGGATGAGAAAAAAAAATAGACAAACAATGTAGGATTGATGTAAATTTTGGCGAAATTTTGTTCAAACTTTTTGGCTAGGACGGAATCTATAAATCATTCACTTTTCAAGGATTAACAACAAGCTAAAGAAACGTCATCTGTAATTAAGCCTGGTTTCCATATGATCGTTATGATCGCTGTGATCGCTGAGAAAAAAAAAGTTCAGTGATCGCAGCGATCATAGCGATTATATAGAAAACACTTTCCAGCGATCGCAGCGATCACAGCGATCGTAGCCGATCATATGGAAACCAGGATTAAGGGGGCTGCAAAAGGCGGATATATGTAATTTCTCCGGCTCTCTAAAGCTTGGTTTCCATATGATCGCTACCATCGCTGTGATCGCTGAGAAAAATAAACGTTCAGCGAGCGCAGCAATGATAGCGATCATGTGGAAATTCGCTTTCAGCGATCGCAGCGACAACGATTGCTGAGATAGGAAAAGTTCTATCTCAGCGATCGTTGTCGCTGCGATCGCTGCGATCGCTAGAAAGTGGTTTCCATATGATCACCAGTGATCGCCACGATCGATGAACTTTGTTTTGCTCAGCGATCGCAGCGATCACAGCGATGGTAGTGATCATATGGAAACCAGCCTAAATAAAATCATAGCAACGTGGTTTTAACGACTAATGTTCAACAGTTTTTCTTTCATACAAATCCTATGAGTAAATTTTTTAATTAGGTCTAAAGTGTTCTTTGGGAGTGAGTAAAGGACATTAGAATAATGACTGAACTCACTGAAAGGAATCCTAGCTTACAGGACTGAAATTAGCTGATTTGGTAGCGCCAAGGCATAATTCAAGAGAAAAGGACGCGGTAAAAACTAGTTTCCGGTTAAAGACTGCATTAAAAACGCCGTTGCTTATACTCGCTAATTTCGTTTTCGTTCAGTACTCGTTGATCTAAAAAGCCTTAATATGGGTGTTTCGACGCCAGTTAGGGTTGATGAACGCAGTTTTTTGTTTTGGCTGAGCTTGGCAGTCTTCAGAATTCTCTTGTATAAATAATTTTTGAGTGCCTTTTGTTTGAACTTGAATTGATTGGATGCAAAAAAAAAAATAGACAAACAAAATAGGATTGATGTAAATTTTGGCGAAATTTTGCTCAAACTTTTTGGCTTGGACGGAATCTATGAATCATTCATTTTTCAAGGATTAACAACAAGAAACGTCATCTGTAAAGCCTGGTTTCCATATGATCGTTATAATCGCTGAGAAAAAAAGAAACGTTCAATGATCGCAGCGATCGTAGCGATCATATGGAAACCAGGCTTAAGGGGGGCTGCAAAATGCAGATATATGTAATTTCTCCGGCTCTCTAAAGCCTGGTTTCCATATGATCGCCGCCATCGCTGTGATGGCTGCGATCGCTGGGAAAAATAAAAGTTCAGCGGTCGCAGCGATGATAACGATCATGTGGAAACCACTTTCCAGCGATCGAAGAGACAACGATCGCTGAGATAGAAAAAGCTCTATCTCAGCGATCGTTGTCGCTGCGATCGCTGCGATCGCTAGAAGGTGGTTTCCATATGATCGCTATGATCGCTACGATCGATGAACTTTTTTTGCTCAGCGATCGCAGCGATCACAGCGATGATAGTGATCATATGGAAACCAGGCTAAATAAAATCATAGCAACCTGGTTTTAACGACTAATGTTCAACAGTTTTTTTCTTTTTTCATACAGATCTTATGCGTAAATTGTTAATTAGGTCTAAAGTGTTCTTTGGGAGTGAGTAAAGACAGTAGAATAATGACTGAACTCACTGAAAGGAATCCTAGCTTACAGGACTGAAATTCGCAAAAAAGTGATAAACTCAATCTAAAATGTCCAATCACAAGACGTCAGTGTAATCAGAACGACTCGTCAGCCACTGTTGTTATAGGCGTAAGTTACTGAACCTTAACAGAGTTACAACCATAGTCATTTAGTTGATTTTATATTTTTTGCACTATTTGCACTGTGGCAACTGGGTAAAGGCATGTGGGATGATAAGTGGGTTGGGGGACTGTGCACACCGGAAGCCCACTCTGGACGGTTGTCTTTTAAGTTGCAACTTAGATAACTTAGTTAATTTTATATTTTTTGCACTATTTGCACTGTGGCAACTGAGTAAAGGCATGTGGGGTGATAAGTGGGGTGGGGGAAGGTGCACACAGGAAGCCCACTCTGGACGGTTGTCTTTTAGTCCTAAACAGTTTAGACTTTAGACCATCAGTCATCAATCCCAAGATCAGCTTTGTCTTATCTGTCATGAACGAAAACATTAAAACAATAGGCCTTCCATCTCGTATATTTTCGCGTTTTGTATTCATGAGAGAGATCTCAACTCCCTTACTCTACATTCATGCACTGCTCTATTTGTGAATACGGTCAGTTCCACTAAGAAATACTGAAAATGTTTCGACTGTTCTTCTTGACGACTTTGGCCATTTTCTTGGCCGCTTCCTTCGGAACTTCGCAGAACAATTCTTCAAATCAGGTAACTTTATTATTTCCGAGAATTTCAATTGGCAAGGGAACTGTACAGGTTCGGTTTTCTTATCTTTCTAGACTCCGGACAACGCTGTTTTTATGCGTTTTCAGGTTCTTTCACATTCATAATCCGTTCAATATCTTGGTTGCAAACTAGAAAATCAGCTACCAGAGACACAA